TTCCATCTATAGTGATCCATTTGGTTTGGCCTCTGCCTGCCTCTCAGATTTCTTGCCGTGTCCATCGTGACTTCTCTCATTAAAGCCCACTTTGGGGGCCAGCAGCTGGTTGTGGTGATTAAGATGCTGGACTCCCACATGGCTAACTCCAGTTCGAGTCCTTGACCTGGTGGCTTGCCTTCTCACTTTCTCTCTCTCTCTGTCTCTCTCTTTCTCTCTCTGTCTCCTTCTGGTGAGCACATGTGTCCCATAGCAAGTTTAAATAATAATAATAATAATAAATAAAATACTTTTCAAAATAAATCAGTATAAGTCTTCTCAAGAGTAAGACCTCATGGGTTAGCAGGTGGCATGGTGGATAAGGGCGCTGGACTCCCACATAGCTGACTGTAGTTTGAGCCCCGAACCTGGCAGCTTGCTACTCACTTTCCCTCTCTCACTCTGTCCCTCTCTGGTCAAATTAAACTAAATAAATAAAAATAAATAAAGTTAAATAAAATAATTCTTTAAAAAAAAAGACCTCAGTAACATTTAGGCACTCTTTGGTACATCATCCTGTATGTGTGTGTGTGTGTGTGTTTATGTGCGCGTGCGTGTGTGTGATATTAAGATTGTTTGTTGGGCCAGCAGGTGGCGTGGTGGTTAAATGTGCTGGACTCCCGCATGGCCAACTGTGGTTCAAGTTCTGGACCTGGTGGCTTGCTTTCTCACTTTCTCTCTCTCTCTGTCTCTCTCTGAACAAACTAGAAATAAAGTTACGTAAATAATAAAGTTAAGTAAAATAACTATTAAGAAAAGATGATTTGTTTCCTAAGTGTTACTGTCTAATGGAATGGCAGCCCAAGGAACACAGGGACCAGAGAATGCCTGGCTCTCAGGAAATGCTCATTAGATATGCACTGAGTGGATGAACGGGAGTTGGGGCTGGCCTCTGAAGGGCGGGCAGTCTTCCAGGACGAGGGAATGAAACGGACAAAGGTGTGAAGGCAGGAGAAGCACAGTCTGTCCCAGGAAAGACCGGCTCAGCTCCAGTAGAGGACTAGTCGGGGACTAGTGAGAAAGGAGTTGGGGACATGGGCTGGGTGTAGATTGTGGAGTACCCTGGAGGTTAGATGGAAGGATCAGGACTCCTATCCTGCTGAGGAACAGGAAGCCATTGACGACCTCCGAGCTGAGGAGTGGCCTAATTAAAGCCGTATTTTGAGGAAATTATTCCAGAATCTGCTGCAGAATAGACTGAAGGAGGGCCAGCTGCCTACTTTATGGAACTCCTTGCAAAATGAAAATGCAAGACTCTTACTCAAAAAGCTGGGAAAAAATGCTGTCAGAGGCACTAAAGCTGAAAATGTTTTCCTTTCTTCCACAGTTCTTTCGACTTCTTAGGTGCTTTTCTTTGCTATTTACTTATTTATTTATTTATTTTTCTTTGAGAGATTTTTGCTATAGGGCGCATGCACTTGCCAGAGAGACAGAGAGAGACAAAGCAAGAAATCACCCCCCAGAGGGGATGGCCACACCACAAGCCCTTCTCCTCCATTCTCCTCTCAGGATTTTGGGCACGCACACATGTCCAGTATGAGTTTTAAGCCGCCGGGTTAAAACCTCCACTATGCAGGTCCAGGGAGTAGCCATTATGTTATCTGTTGGTCCCTTTCTTTGCTATTTAATGCTTAAATATATATATATTTGGAGAGGTTTTTGCTATAGGGCACATGCGCTTGCCAGAAAGACAGAGAGAGACATAGAGACAGAAAGCGAGAAATCACCCCCCAGAGGGGATGGCCACACCACAAGCCCTTCTCCTCCATTCTCCCCTTGGGATCTTGGGCACACATGCACACACGCCTGGCATGAGTTTAAGTCACCGGGTCCGGGTCTTGAACCACGGTGAACTACATGGGAGTCCAGTGACATAGCCATGACGCCAACTGCTGGTCCCAATAATTTTAAAAAATGAATAAGGCCAGTAGGTACGTGTAGATTAAAACTCTGGATCCAAGAGCCAGTTGCACGGTTTGAGTCCCGGATCTGGCAGCTTGAAAATTATTCTGGGTACATGTGCGTGTGTCCCCAAAATCCAGAGAGGAGACCGGAGAAAGGAGTGTGGTGTGGTCAGCCCCCTGGGAGCTGATACATAAGGAAGGACTGGAAGGAAAAGGAGCTGTGGGCTGCCCCAGCTTTCTCTGTCCTATGTCGTCACTGCCAGCCTAAATGGCAGCTAGTCCAGGGAAGCCACGTGACTAAGACATTAGGATGCTTTGACCATTCATGTCTCCTAGAATGCCATCACTTTTTCTTGTTTTTTCTTTTTTTTTTAAAGGATTTTTTTGACTTTTTTTATTAGTTTTTAAAGATTTTTTTTTTGTGGGCCAGCAGGTGGCGTGGTGGTTAAAGACTCTGGACTCCCACATGACAGACATGGTTCAAGTCCCAGACCTGGTGGCTTGTTTTCTCACTTTCCCTTTCGCCCTTTCTCTATCTCTCTCTGATCAAACTGGAAAATAATAATAATAAATAAAGTTAAATAAAATAATTCTTTAAAAAAGGTTTTCTGTAATTATTTATTCAATTTTATTTACTCATTCATTAATTTTAATTAATTCTTTTGAGAGGTTTTTGCTATACGGTGCGTGCGCTCACCAGAGGGACAGAAAGTGAGAAATCACCCCCCAGGAGGGATGGCCATGCTGCAATTCCTTCTCCTCCATTCTCCTCTTGGGACCTTGGGAACGCACGCACACACGCCCAGTGTGAGTTTAAGCCACCGGGTCCGGGACTCGAACCACGGTCGACTACATGGGAGTCCAGCGACACAGCCATTACGCTAACTGCTGGTCTCCATTTATTTTAACTTAACCAGAGAGAGAGAGAGAAGGAAAATGAGAAAGCAAGCCACCAGGTTCGGGACTCGAACTGTGGTTGGCCATGTGGGAGAGTCCAGCACCTTAACCACCATGTCACCTGCTGGTTCCCCACTATTCTTCTTATTATTTGACCAGAGAGAGAGACAGAGAGAGAAAGTGAGAAAACAAACCACCGAGTCCAGGACTTGAACCACTGTTGACCACATGGGAATCCAGTGCCTTAACCCCATGCTACCTGCTGGCCCCAATGTTGCTGTCTTTCTATGTTCAAAGCAAGTTCTGCCTCCAGTGAGAAGTGTGACCTCTCGGTTGTAGACATGACATGGTTACCATGTACTTGCTTTGAGTCTGGATGAACTCCCACACATGGTAGGTCCACCAGAAGTCTGTGCTCCTGAAGCATCTCGAATGCCATCTGTGAGTGGGATGGATGTGACCCACACCTCCTCTGCTCACGGGCATGCTCCATCATTCCATCAGACCTCACTTACAAAGTACAAGTTCAAAGGTGAAACTTAGGGTTTTTTTGGGGGGGTAAACTTTGTTTATTTATTTTAATTTGACCACAGAGGGACAGAGTACATATGAGAGAAAATTGAGAACGCAAGCCATCAGGTCCACAGCTGGCCATGTGGGAGTCCAGCGCCCTTTACCACCGTGCCACCTGCTGGCCTCCCAGAACTGTTAAGGATTTCAAGAGGGCAACTTCAGAGTGTTAAATTGAGCAATTCTGAGTACAGGCCTTGTGTGACTAAGCAAGTCCCATGCCCATTAAGTCAACTCTGAATTGGAGGGAATGAGTTTAAGGTCAAGGCTGATAGTCTAGATGTGAGATGTTGAACCAAGGATTCAAGGTGAGAGCTGAAAAGAGAAGAAAAAACCCTACAAGGAAAAATGCAGATTCTAAGAACCTTTTTAATTTTTTTAATTGCCAGACAGCACGTGCACTTGCCTGCCAGAGAGAAAGCACCCTCCACTATAGCGTGGTCATGCCGGAATCCCTTCTCTTCCATTTCTCCATCTTGGGATTGTGGGGAGGCACAGATACACACCTGGCTGCTGGGTCTGATTTTAGACCATCAGCCATGTGGGATCCAGCTCCCTTAAACCAGTAGGCTAAGGGGCCAGCCCTAAAGAAATGATTTAAAAAGTGGAGATAATGATGCTTAACATGTGGCATTTAAATGTTCCTCGGGCTGCCCAATCTATCTTGGCCTCCCAGGGCTAGAGCTGCATGGGGGGGCTCTAGTCGATGCTCAATAAATGTTTGCTGACCCAAATTGGCAAAGGAGGAGATGAGTTCAGACATGGGGATGGGAGCATGGGAAAAGAGAGCTCCTAAGCAGACTTGGCTGCAGGGCTGGGGTCTCAGGGAAACGCTGGGGGCTGAGAAGGTGGTGTTGGGAAGGCTTTAGGGAGAGACGCAGTTGGGAAGATGGCAAAGCACTTGGGTGGGGAGAGAATCAGGCGGTGTGGACGGGGGATTGAGGGACTGGAGGTGTGTGTTGGGGGGAAGAATTGGTCGCAGCTCCCACTAGGGGAATTTCGCTCTTGTAGTGGCCTCTATCTATCTGTGTGGCCGATTCTAGCTTCTCTCCCGGCTGGTCCAGCATCTTGGCTGATCTCTTCATTGTGTTTCTTGGTCTCTGGCTCCTTCTTTATTCCTCTCACATTCTGCTCCGTCTGCCCGCTTGACTCTTTCTATAACTCTTTCTAATTCCCGCCTTGGGTCCCCCCACCTTTGAGCATATATCTGCTTCCTTCTCCGCTTCTGAGTCTCTCTGGGGTTATCATTCTCTGCTTTGCGCTACACGCCCTCTATCTCCTCGTCCCACCCTGATCCAGTCCAGTACCCGGGGTGGACGGGTGGACGTAGCATAGAGACCGCCGGGCTCCAAGGAGGCGGCAGGGGCGGTCCCAACCCTCTCTCCATATTTGCATATGTATGAGGTCGCCCGGGCCAGTTCGAGGAGGCGGGGCTTCCGAGGGGAGGGAAGGGGGCGGGCGCCCTCAGAGCCGCAGACTATAAAAATCGCGCGCGGCGACCGCTGGCCCCGCACTGCTGAGGAGCGGAGCCTCCGCCTGGGGGCCCCTCATCCGTGGTTGTCCCCCAGTTGCGCGTCCCCGCCCCACCCCCCCCCTGCTGCTTTGCACCCCGCTTTTTTCTGCATTTCGGTAGGGTTTTGTAGCCGTCTGTTTTGGCGCCCCTTTTCTGTTTGCTTATAGACGGTTTTGGGGGGTGAACTGCATTCGCACCCCTTCCCCTGTTTGCTGCTCAGACAGCCCCCCTTTTTATCCTGGTCGGGGGGCCTAGGATTGGTGCATCCTCCTGCCGCTCTGCCAGCACCTCGCAGCGTGTGGCCCTGCACCTCCAAATTTGCAGCAGCTGCATATCTGAGGAGGGTCTTCCTCGCTCCTACCACCTTTGCTTCCCGCGCGTTTCGGTGCGTGGAGAGCTTCAGCGCGCGGCGCCCCCGCTTCTCCGCAGCCCCCCACCCCACGCCGGGACTCGCCCCGCGCCGCCAAGATGGTCATCCAGAAAGAGAAGAAGAGCTGCGGGCAGGTGGTTGAGGAGTGGAAGGAGTTCGTGTGGAACCCGAGGACGCACCAGTTCATGGGCCGAACGGGGACCAGCTGGGGTACGCGGGGCCGAAGCGCGAGGGGTTGGGAGTGGGGAGCGCCGGGCGACGCCTCAGGGGTGCAGGGTCCAGCCAGAGCGCCCCCAGGTCCCCTCTCGGGTCCCCGGCGTCCGGCCCCCCTGCCGGGCTCTGGGCTGGGAGGGGGCCAAATCACCGGTCTAATCTCCCCGGCTGGCCGCTGCGGAGGCGGAGAAAGTAGGTCACTGCCGCCTTCCCGCCCCCCGCGGAGCCCCCTCGGGCGGGGGGTCCGGGGCTCTGCGCGCGTGTCCGCGCCGCGGCGCTCGCGCTCCCTCTCGGGCTTGTCCACTCTGCGTGGTCGCTCTCCCCCTTTCCCGCGGGCGCCCCTTCCCTCCCTCCCGCAGGCTCTCACTAGCTAGCCAACCCCGTCTATTTTTAGCTTGTGCCCACCCCCTGGACCCTGGGAACATTCATGAGGGGGCGGGTCTTGAAGGGGGTGTGTTAGGGGGGTTCTTCACAGCGGAAGTTGTCCCACTGCCAGGCGTTTGGAGCCTTCTGTGGCTGCTTTGTGGGAGGGGGTGCTGCAGGAGAGGGGTGACACTGGGGGGATGTTGCACTCAGATGTGTGCGTCGGAGGTAGGAGTGGTCACTGTGGTGAGATGTGTACATCATCCCGAAAGACCGTGTCTGTGGGAGTCGATAGCTCGGGCCCTTCCCCACCCTTAGCGGGGACTGGATGGGGAGGGACTTGTACATGGGGTGGAGGGGTGTCTGGTGATGGGCACAGGTGCAGGGGATGCCTGGCATTCTTCCAAAAGGGATTGCCCGAAAGACCGTGTCTGTGGGAGTCGATAGCTCGGGCCCTTACCCACCCTTAGCGTGGGGGACTGGATGTGGAGGGACTTGTACATGGGGTGGAGGGGTGTCTGGTGATGGGCACAGGTGCAGGGGATGCCTGGCATTCTTCCAAAAGGGATTGTCAAGCTGGGAAGTGGAAGCACCTGAAGACACTGGGTGACATAATTTACAGTTTAACTACAATGATTGGACACTCCCCATCAGCCCACCCACCTAGGGCCCCAGGAGGGGGATCTAATGCAGTCCTTGCCCTGGGGATCCCCTGGATTGGGAGGGGTGTGTAAATGTTTGGGAGAATCAGGACTTCAGGGAGGAGGTGTTTTCTGGGAAAGACTGGAAGTCTGGGGTAGTGGGCACAGAAGACCCCTACACCAGGCTGAGGTAGTGATGGAGAGACCGGTTCATGGGAATTGTCCCTTTACTTCCTACCTCTGTCCAGGGTGCTGTAGGTGAGTTGAGGGTGGGGTGAGTGTGGAAGGTGCTCATGGCTATCACTAAGAGATCTTGTAGCTAGGCCAGGTGTTAGGGCCTCTGCTTCAAGGCCTGCATTCGAGGTATGGTTTCTGTAGATCACCAGCAGAGAGAAGGTTGTGCCGTGAATATCTGAGGAGTCTGGCTCTTCAGGGTGATGTGAGTTTGGCTGTGAAGAGTGCCCAGTACCAGCTGAAAAACCCGTTGTGCTAGGACAGTTTTAAGCAAGAGCACCAAGAACGAGTTACCGATGTGCCTTTTCAGGCCTGTGTATGGTTGAGATGTTGGAAATATAATTGGAGACAAAACAGTGGCCTTTATATACTTGGGATTATCCCAGCGATGAGTTTAGGACTCTTGTGGCCTCCACGAGGTTGGGCTTCATTGTATCCTAGGCCAGACAACACTGCCTGTTTCCAGCTTGTCTCATTTTGCTTCTAAGGAAAGGCTCTAAGAGATCTGTGGCTCTGACCCACCCCAGTGCAGAATTTCTGAGCGGGTAGAGGGGTGTTGGAGTCATGGCGGGAGACTTAGACCCTACCAACGGTTTCCTCCTCCTTAGCCTTTATCCTCCTCTTCTACCTCGTCTTCTACGGCTTCCTCACGGCCATGTTCTCCCTCACCATGTGGGTGATGCTGCAGACTGTCTCTGACCATACCCCCAAATACCAGGACCGACTCGCCACACCAGGTGAGTTTTGAGGCTCCTCCTACCAGTCACTCTGACTGCTGTTGTGCCCCCAAACCTCTGCAGTTCAGAGTTTGGTTCTGATGATCCAACTATCATGTGCTGGGAAGTTCTTTTTGAAGTCTGTCTCCCTTCCCACTTCCTGGGAGCTATGTGATCCGGGGAGGTGGCAGGTAGTCAGAAGCCCGTGAAGATCATCTCAGATCTTACCCCCATCCCTCACTGCAGTGTCCCTCTTCTTCCCTCATCTTATATAAACCCCCCACTCCCCTCTTCTTGGCTATAGGCTTGATGATTCGCCCCAAGACTGAGAACCTTGATGTTGTTGTCAACATCAGTGACACTGAAAGCTGGGACCAGCATGTTCAGAAGCTCAACAAGTTCTTGGAACGTGAGTTGGGGCTGGCCACATGGCTGTCCAGGATCTTGGGTAGGGGGCTGGGGACCCTGAAGGCAGAACCGTCAGGCCCCTGACTCTCCCCTTCTCACCTCCTTAGCTTACAACGACTCCATCCAAGCCCAGAAGAATGATGTCTGCCGCCCTGGGCGCTATTATGAACAGCCCGATAACGGTGTCCTCAACTACCCTAAACGTGCCTGCCAATTCAACCGGACCCAGCTAGGCAACTGCTCTGGCATCGGGGACCCCACTCACTATGGTTACAGCACTGGACAGCCCTGTGTCTTCATCAAGATGAATCGAGTATGCATGGCCTTAGTCTCCAGGGGAAACGGGAGGGAACTGGGGCCTGCCAGCTGCTGACAGTTGAGTCCTTTCCCTGGGGCAAATGACAAGAGCCAGATTTGGGAATGCTTGAGTAGCTGAGAGGATGCCCGAGGTGGAGCCATAGGAGGCTGGGCTCTCTGCAGCTGGAGGGCCGGTTGCCTGTGTTCTCGACACCTTTTCTCGACACCTTCTCTGACGCTCACCCTCTCCCTCCTTCCAGGTCATCAACTTCTATGCAGGAGCAAACCAGAGCATGAATGTTACCTGTGTTGGAAAGGTGAGTTGGGCCTTGCCGCCTTGCCCACCTGTTTGACGTGCATGGTTTCTGTGTGATTCACCCCTCTCTTCCTGTCTTCTTTGCTCTCAGAAGCCCCATCACCACAGGCATAAGGGGGTAAGAGTGAGCTCCGCTGTAGCTTAGCTCTCAGGGGCTCCCAGCCCTCCCGCTTCTGTCTAGGATGCAGAAACCTGCCTCATAGGAACAGACACACCTCTCCCTCCACCAAAGCCCTGGCGGCCAGCTTCTCTCCATGACTCTTCCACTGTCCCCTTTATTCCCGCTCCTCGGGTCCCTTTAGGTATCTGGTAGCTGCTGATCTGTTAGCACCACCTGCCACCACTTGGTTGTCCTTGGAACTCTGCTCCCGCCTCTTCTGTTCTCTCTAGAAAACTCGCTACCAGTCTCCATTCCCCCCTGCCCCTTGCCTCCTACTGAACCCTTACTCATTTATCTATTCTCTCTTGGTTCTGCTCCAGAAACCAATTCATGAGGATGGGGTAAGAACTTGGGGTAGGAGTAGAGTAGGAGGAGTCTGTGTCATTAGCACCCTTCAGGAGTTCCCAGTCCGATGAGAGAGAGAGAGAGAGAGCATCCTCTCCCATACAGCAGGAGTAATTTGGGGTGACAGAAGAACGAAGGGGAATCTGGTGTGCGTTCAGGCACCTATCATCCCTAACCCGCTCACCCGGTACCTCCTGCACCCCCACAGCGAGATGAAGATGCTGAGAATCTTGGCAGCTTTGTCATGTTCCCTGCCAACGGCAACATCGACCTCATGTACTTCCCTTACTACGGCAAAAAGTTCCACGTAAGTTCCATGGGAGGCCCAGGGTGATGGCTCCTCCAGGGACACTGCTTCCTGGGAAAGGGGCTGAGCTGCCTTGGGCTTAGACCCTCACTGTCCTCCTCTGGCCCAGGTGAACTACACGCAGCCCCTGGTGGCCGTGAAGTTCCTGAATGTGACCCCCAATGTGGAGGTGAATGTGGAATGTCGCATCAACGCCGCCAACATCGCCACGGACGATGAGCGAGACAAGTTCGCTGGCCGCGTGGCCTTCAAACTCCGCATCAACAAAACCTGAGGCCCCTTCCTCCTGCCCCCACCTCTCTCCTGTGGATGCTTCTGGAATGTCCCTGACCCTGCCTGATCCCTCCCTCACTCACCCCAAAGGTATTTTTTATAACAGAGCTATGACTTGTCTGAGCCTCACGCCCTTTTCCTTGACTTCTCAACCCAGCCTGATGGCCATCGTGGTTCCCTGGCTCTGTGCATTTCCCACCCTCTTCTCCCATCCTTAGTGCAGCCAGAGACAGGGAGATGGGCTCCCAAGATGGGCCCCGAGAAGCTAGGAGCCTTCCCAGTTCTGGTGTGGCTGTGAGTGGGAAGACCCCACAGCCACCACCTCTCCTGCCCTCCATCTGCCTGCCTGTGCACACGCATGTGTGCACACGCTCACACGCCTTGTTTCCCTGCTTCACTCCCCAGAGATACCTGTGGTACTCCCTTAAGCACTGCTGCTGTACCTTTGTCTATCTCTCACACTTTCTTTTGCGTCTGCATAGTCGCCATCTTGCTGGCTTTTGACTTGGCTCCTCTGGCAGATTTTTCCTCAACTCCTTTCTATCCCTGTTCCCCCTGTGAAGGGCAGCTGTTTGTAATCGAGGACAAGGTAGTTCTCTGGCCTTTCTCCTCTTTCCTCTCACCCTGTGGTGGTTCCTTGAGCTAGGGAAGGAGGTACTGGAAAAGAAGTCCATGTTGATTGTTCTGGAAAGTTCTCTAGCTGCACTGACTCCAATTCCTTCCTGGTCCCTCCTATCACCCAAATAGCCACTACTGAGAGGCGGGGTTGACCTAGGCTGAATATCCACTTTGTTTTTACCGATGGCTCCCTTCCCCCATTTGCCTTCCCAGAATATCCTTCAAGTTCCACTTCCCAGGGAGCTCTGGGGGAGGGGCAGCCACTTTGGCTCTGTCCCCAGTGGCCACCTTGGAAACATCAGCTGGCTGTGGGACTATTCCACCTCCTTCCCTGGCCCAGAACTGCCCCCATGGGCCCCCACCATCCTTTCTCTGGCTTCTCTTAGCAAGTTATCAACTAATCACTAATTCCGTCCCTTTCCTCCGCATGCCAGCCTGAAAGTTTCACATACCCTCAGTCTAGGCTCTGAATTTCTTGGCTCCTCAGTCCCTGCCTTTGCCTTTAAAACAAAACAAAACAAAACCAATCCCTTCATAGGATGTTACACGAGGGGCCTCCTCCTTGAGTGTTCTTTAGCTCTAGAGGCATTTTAACCCTCCTCTGGTGTCCCTTCACTTCTTCGCCTTCTGGACCTTTCCTTTTGTAATGCTGCAGCCTCCACACACCACCCACAGATGGACCCTTCCCTTTTTCTCCTGCTGGATCCATGTCTCTTCCCCTAGGGTCCCCATTTTTTCCTGCACCTCCTCTCTCCTCCCAGTGGTCTCTCTCTGCAGTTATTTAATGCCTGTGTCAGATCTACTGTGAAAAGAGGATAAAGCGCAATAAAATAAGAGCAATTATATATATAAATATATATCATACACAGAGCCCTGTGTGCGGGTTGTTCCTTTCTGAACATTTGGAAGAGCCCTGGGAAGGGGATGGAAGGTGGATTTGAATGATCCTAGGAGTTACCCAGTCTTGGGGCCTACTCCCGAACTTTGACCTCTCCCAGTGTCCAAGCATCTGTCCCCCTCACTTCCTTCACTGAGCCGAATGTAATGCACACTCTCTTGAGATCACATGATGTAAGCGAGGCAGGCAGAAAGCGTCTATCTCTGTGTACAGTGATACTTATAAAGTGCCTACTATGTGCGTTTTAGGCACCGTGAGGACACACTTATGAAAAAGGCAGAGTTCCTGCCCCCAAGGAGCTCCCCAGTTTAACGGGAGAGGTGAGGAGCACACGAGAAACTCTCACGCAAGGTAGATCTAAATATGCTTCAAGGAAGGGGAGAAAGCTGGGGATGACAATTCAGAGGGGTCAACCACTATGTTGGGGGCTTCAAAGGGAAGGTTCTTGAGAGGAAGCAGCATTAAGCAGGGGCTTAACGGATGGGCTATTTGGGGAGAGAGGCGTACTGGCAATTACTGAGACAGAAAAATTGACTAGAAGAAACAGATCTCAAAACAATGTGACCCACATGATTCTAATTTTGTGTAAAAGCACACACGTAGAAACAGGAGAAGGATTAATGGATATATACAGTATTTATTGTGGTATGTGGGGAAATGTTTATAGTTAATTTTTGTTTTCTCCTTTGGGCTTATTTTATTTTGCAATAAGTTGGTATTTGCCTTGAAAAATAGCTTTCTTGCATGTGTATTCATATAGCCATGATTTTATTATGAACGCATCATAGAAACATACCGTCATGTACATAAGATGACGTTTTGGCCACTGTTATACAGAATTAGACCTATTTTACACACTTGTGGACATCTTACTTTTTCCACTCCATACATTTCACGTGACAGTGCTTCACCTGATAGAGCTCTAATTCTTTTTTTTTTTTGGAGAGATTTTTCACTATAGGGCGCGTGCGCTCGCCAGACAGACAGAGAGAGACATTAGAGACAGAAAGCGAGAAATCACCCCCCAGGGGGGATGGTCACGCCTCAATCCCTTCTCCTCCATTCTCCTCTCGGGATCTTGGGCACGCACGCACACGCGCCCGGCCTGAGTTTTAAGCCACTGGGTCCGGGACACGAACCGCGGTCGACTACGTGGGAGTCCAGCGACATAGCCATTACGCTAACTGCTGGTTCCCTAGAGCTCTAATTCTTTGTTACGAGTGACCGCATTATATTTTGCTTTTTTTTCCATTGGATATTTATCCTTTTGTTAATTTGTTTGAGTTCCTTTGTGATGCACACTTTTTGTGTCGCAAAATTTCCTACAATCCATTGTTTGCCTCTTGACTTGGTAGTATCTTTTGCAATTAAAAAGTTTTTGGGAGCCCCGCAGGTGTGTATGGTTAAGGTACTGGACTCCCACAAGGCTGATGATGATTTGAATCACAAACCCAGAGGCTCAAAAATCATGCCCAGCCTGTGTGCGTGCGTGCCCAAAATCCTGAGAGGAGACTGGAGGAGATGAGATGCCAGTGTGGTCATCCTTCCTAGGGGGGATGATTTCCCTTTTTTTTTTTTTTTTTTTCTTGCTGTCTCTCTCTGGCAAGCATATGTGCTCTAGAGTAAAAGCAAAATAAAACAAAAAATTGGAGGGACCTGGCCCCATGGACTGATGGTTAAGGGAGCCAGATCCCACATGGCCAACCAAGCCATTTGAATCCAGGCCCCAGTTGGGTGATTAGGATGGAGAAATGGAGAAGGAACTGTGGCATGCCCATGCCTAATGTGGGCAGCGCTTTCTCCTTCTCCCTCTTTCTCTGGTGAGCACATGTACTCTCTAACAAAATTTAAACAAAAAGGTTTAGGTTTTCAGGGCAGAGGAGAGTGGCGTGGTAGTGCGTGCCTACCATCTCAGCCACTGGAAAGGTTGAGGCCTGCCTCTACAATATAGAGAGATTCTGTCTTAAAAGTTTTGGTGTCTTTTTCTTTTTCCTTTTAGTTTTATTGCTATAGGGTGAGTGTGCTCACTAGAAAGAGAGGGAAAAAGAGAGACAGAGAAAGGGAGATGATCACCCCCAGTGGGGGATGGTCACACCACCATCCCTTTTTCTTTATCTCTCCTCTCAGGATTTTGGGCATGCACATACATGTGCTTGTCATGTTTTCAAGCCACCAGGTCTGGGACTTGAACCTTGCAGCTGGCTATGTGAAAACAAGCTGCTTTAACCTCCACACCACCAGCTGGCCCTGCTTTGTTATTCTGTCTGTCTTTATTTATTTAATTTGACCAGGGAGAGCGAGAAAGGGAAAGTGAGAAAGCAAGCTACCAGGTCTGAGATTTGAACCATGGTAGGCCACGTGGGAGTCCTGCAGCATAAACACCATGTATGCCATCAGCCGACCCCCTTGCTTTGGTTTTTATATGGTAAAATGTGCTTATTTGCCTTTCATAGTTTTGGTTTCCGTCAGTGGGGTATACTACATGTTTTTATTTTCAGAATTTAAATTTCATTTTAATCTTTTGTCTTGTTTCTATTTATGGTTATGTTTCTTTTTTGTTGTTGTTGTCATATTTTATTCTTTACCTTAACTTTAATTCGTATGGTGTATTATTTATTTATATTTAAAGAATAATTTTATTTTACTTTATTTATTTATTTTAATTTGACCAGAGAGGGACAGAGTGAGAGAGAGAGAGAGAGATTGGGAAATTGAGAAAGGAAGCCACCAGGTCTGGGACTCGAACTGCAGTCAGCCATGTGGGAGTCCAGTGTCCTTTACCACCACAACATATGGTTTATTTTTGTTTGTGTGTGGCATAAATGAAGGATCTGGTTTTATTTTATTTACTTATTTATTTATTTTTGGGGAGTTTTTTGCTTGTTCGTTTGTTTGTTTGTTTTCTTGTTTTTTTGCTATAGGGCGCGTGCCCTCACCAGACAGACAGAGACAGAGACAGAAAGCAAGAAATCGTCCCCCAGGGGGGATGGCCACGCTGCAGAGTCCCTTCTCCTCCGTTCTCCTCTCGGGATCCTGGGCACGCACACACACGCGCCTGGCGTGAGTTTAAGCCACTGGGTCTGGGACTTGAACCGTGGTCGACTATGTGGGAGTCCAGCGACATAGTCATTATGCTAACTGCTGGTCTCATATTTATTTTAATTGCCAGAAAGAGGGAGAAGGCACCCCATAGTGGGGCGTGGTCATGTCCCAATCCCTTTTTGTTCGTTTCCTCGTCCTGTCAGGATTTTAGACATACTTGCACATACACTCAGCATTAGTTTTAAGCTGCAGAGGGCTGGGAGGCAAACTGTAGTCAGCCATGTGGGATCTAGCTTCCCTAACCACTAGGTTACAGAACTGGTCCTTATTTTTATTTTTTATTTGTTTATTTTTAAGAATTACTTAAGTTACTTAATTTATTTTTTGGAGAGGTTTTTACTATAGGCGTGAGCGCTCATCAGAAAGACAGAGAGAGACAGAGACAGAAAGCGAGAAATCACTCCCCAGAGGGGATGGCCACGCTGCAGTCCTTTCTCCTCCATTCTCCTCTTGGGATCTTGGGCACACACGCACACACGCCCAGTGTGAGTTTAAGCCACCAGGTCTCGGACTTGAACCGTGGTTGACTACCTGGGAGTCTAGTGATGTAGCCATTATGCCATCTGCTGATCCCAAGAATTATTTTATTTAACTTTATTTATTTAAATTTGACCATAGAGGGACAGAGTGAGAGACAGAGAGAGAGAGAGGGAAAATGAGAAAGCAAGTCACCAGGCCCAGGACTTGAACTGCACTTGGCCATGTGGGAGTTCAGCACCTTTAACCACCATGCCACTTACTGGCCCCTATTTTTATTTATTTTTTTTTAATTGTCAGAAGTACATGTACTTACCAGAGAGAGAGAGACAAGAAACCATCCTCAGTGGGGTATGGTCATGGCACAATCCATTTTCCTCAGTTTCTCTATCCCATCAGGATTTGGGTCACACTGGTGTGTTTTCCTTTTTTAGATTTTGCCATAAGGCATGTGTGCTCTCCGGAGAGAGAGAGAAATTGAGAAATCACCCCCTGGGAGTATGGCCACACTGCAGTTCCTTCTCCGTTTTTCTCCTCTCTTCCTCTTGGGATTTTGGATATGCATACATATACCTGGTGTGTTTCTCAAGCTGCCAGGGTCAAGACTTGAACCATGGAGTCGGCCCTGTGGGACCCAGTGCCTTAACCACCTGCTGGCCCATATACTGATGTGTTTTGCAAGCCACAGGAGTTGAGACTTGAACCGGGGTCAATCATGTGACATTTGGTCCCTCAGCACAGAACTTGACTGCTTGTGCCAGCCCATTTTATTTTTACAGTTGTGCTAGTTTCATTTGTTTTGAAAAAAAAAATCCATAACTTACTCCCATTGAATTGCTGAAATGCCAATTTTGATCATATAATAGTTTTCCAGTTGTGCTCGTTTCATTTGTTTTGAAAAAAAAAAAAATCCATAACTTACTCCCATTGAATTGCTGAAATGCCAATTTTGATCATATAATAGTTTTCCTCTATGTTCACATCTACTTGCTTGATTCATTATTTGCTTCCCCTGGCTTATCTTCCACTCCACACACCAAACTTATTCCAAGAGTACTAGTGTATGTTTTCTGATATCTGGCGATGCAAACGGGGCACTTCTCCATTGTTTATTTATTTTAGAGATTTTTCTTTTTTGAGAGGATTTTGCTATAGGGCGCATGCACTTGCCAAAAAGACAGAGACAGAGAGATAGAAAGCGAGAAATCACCTCCAGGGGGATGGCCATGCCGCAATCCTTTCTCCTTCATTCTCCTCTTGGGATCCCAGGCACACATGCATATGCACCCAGTGTGAGTTTAAGTCACTGGATCCAGGACTCGAACTGTGGTCGACTACATGGGAGTTGAGTGACGTAGCCATTACGTCACCTGCTGGTCCTATCATTTTGAAT